CCTTTCTATTCATTGTTGCAAAAGAATCATTGCAAAACTTCCAGTTTAACTTCAATCAGATAATTATTTCTCTTTTTTGTCATAGCTGGTTCTCAGTACCCACTAATCCTCATTAATATCTGACCTTCCTAGCTCTGGGGGTGGCAGAGGAAAGAAAAGGTTGCAGAGCTGTAAAACTTGCCCAACAAAAGCAAAGACCTTACAGTCCTTACCACTGTGACAGATGGAGGAGGGGCCCCTGGTGATGTAAATAATTAATAGGAACAATTTAAATAAACACAATGCTGTTTATTATAGTCCTTGTATCTCTTTGCACATCCTTCTGTTTCAGTATCCATCCTGAAAATTCCAAATTAGCCATTGCTTATAAAGTTGAAGGTCATAAATAAGGACTACCTGTAATTATATAGGGCACTGGTATCAAACTCATGGTGTCATGCTATAGTCACGTAATGTATCACAACTCCCCCCACCCTTTGCTAAACCAGAAGTGACTTATCCAGTCTGTATCCAGTCTGTGAGCTGTGAGTTTGACAGCCCTGATATATGGGATTGAATGTTTCTGTCATGTTGGGTCTCTTTGTCTTCTTCAGATGACCCTTCTTCTTTGATCCTTAGAGATTTCCTCCTTATGTTTCCTCTCCAAGAGAACTTTTTGAGAAAATTGACTTAGTCCTCTCTGCTTAGGTGCTTCATCTTTGGGTTATGGCTGCTTCACTTGTCTCACACTCCAATGATCTTTGGCAGGTATTTGTATATATAAATATGTAATATGTATGTACATATTTACATAGTCAAAGGCCTAAACAGTGTGCTTAATATAGATAAGAAAAAAATATGTTCATCTGAATATTTTACATTGTTTCCTATAACAAAGCAACACCACTCAATATTATAATGCCATCTCTAGAAAAAAAAAACACCCTCATTTAGTTGTAGTCTGGAGTCACATTCTTCTGCCCAGATGAACTTTAAATGTCCAGGATGTAATATAACTATTATTTAAATCCCAGATCATTCCATAATCATGTTAAAGTCAAAAAGATATAAAACATGTTTTTTTTTTTGTTTCCTTATTTTTCAAGAGCAGTGTCATTCTGAATTTATTCCCTAATACATATCATATATATATATGTTGTACTGATAAGCTTATGGAGGATAGCAACTTACAACATAGTGGGCAGCCAATCTGATAACAATGAATCTGAATCATCTGCTAGGTAAGACAGTTACTTCTGTGTCCTTTCCAACTTAAAATCATATATGGAAATCTATGGAAAGAAGATATTTTCTCTCTTCACAGCTATAAACAGGCCTGAGTGTTCCCTTACCAGAGACTCCCTCTATCTTGCTTTTAATTTTTTAAAAATATGGAGTTACCCATTCACACTTCATTTTGCTGTTTGTGAACCAGCTGTTCTTCTGTAGATGTATAATCCTTTAAAAAAAAAAAACGACTACTAAATCCCCAACATAATCTGTGATCATTACCCACAAACTACTAACACCTTCCTAGAGTTGCAATTCAACAGTATGAAAAAGAGGAGTAGCCAAAGAAATCTATCAGATCAAGCCAAAAGAAACAGTGACAAACATCAGTTTCCTAAAGTTGGTGCTACCAAAAAACGTCAATTCTGGCTAGATTCTCATGAAGTGCAAAGCCAAATATCGTGGTTTCCTGACTTATGCCAAGAGCCTGTTATGGTGGTGTGTGAGTGCAGCCAGATTGGGCTGCAAACCACAACTTCTTTCCAACCATTCTGAGCAAAAGACGTTCTCACCCCCTCTTTTCTTCCCCCACTCAGAAGCCACAGGACCTTTGTCTCCTTTTGAGAAGAGGACTCATTTCTAGAATGTCAGCTTTATAAGCAGAAAAGGGGGAGGAGGTGGGGGGACAAAGGCCAGAATCAAGTCACACAAGTGATCTTTGGGGAAAAATATAATCTTCCTAAAGTCTGGGACAGGTCACCCCAAAGTTTTAAATATTTATAAATGCATGCTATATCTTAGGAGGGCATTATTTAAAAACAGCAACATCCTTGGGTTTAAGAGAGAGAGAGAGAGAGAGAGGCTTTGACAGCCTCTAATAAGAAAATGGTCGGCTTTTTTTTTTTTAAAGGCGGACGAAAAGGACACCCCAGGAGCTTCTATCCAATTTATCCCCGGCTTATTCCGACACCTTAGAGGCCGTCTTTCGGTTTCGCTTCTACGAGAGGCTAGGGGGATTTTTGAGGGGTAGGCGGTTCGATGAATTAAGACAAAAAACTCCAAGCTGATCTCTCTCTCTCTCTCTTTCTCTCTCTCTCCCCTTAGAATAAAATGCCAACAACAAGCACGAACGACCGGCAACTTCCCCGCCCTTTTCCTCCTCGTTTGCCTTAAAAATAAATAAATAAAAATAACCACACACAGAGAGAGATTATTTACCCGGTAATAAATAGGTAATAAAACCTCGGAGAACACCAAAAATTCCCAACAGTTCAACTCTGGAGATTTTTTTTCCCATTGAAGTGGTGCGGGGAAAAAACCCCAAAAGCCCCCCGGGAACTTTTTTTGCCTTTTGCAAAAACTGGCATCTTCAACCGGCCGTCCCGCACCCGCTCCTCCTGCAACGGTGGGCGAGTCTGCACAGACTTGCAAAAAAACGGGCGCCCGGGGAACTTAACTCACCCGGGGTTTGGGGGCTGTCGGCGGAGGCTTCCTCCTAAAGCTCTCGAGAAAACGGCTCCAAGTTTCCCTCGGCTCTATTCCCTCCCCGGGAGGAGGAAGAGGAGCTGCTGCTGTCCTGCTCCCCGCGCGCCCGCCACTGCCGAGCTTGGCCTTCCGTGAGGCTTGCAAGCTCGGTTTCTTTCGCTCGCTCGCTCGCTCTTCGGGTTCTTGCCTTTCCTGCTCTCACTGGTTTCCGGAGGGAGGGAGGGGTGGTGGTGAAAAGAACAGCCGCCACCGCTTCCGCACAGTGTTCCCAGCCGAGCGGGAAGCAGTTAGCAAGCCGCAGGCGACGCGCGCACGCGCGCTACGTCGCCATAGAGAGCGGAGAGGCGGTGGTAGGCTCCTCCCCCCGCCCCGCCCACGGGAGGAGGAAGCAAAACGGCCCGTTCCTCAGGTGGCTTCGGAAAGAAAGCGGGGCTCGGAAGGAAGGCTGGGCGCTTAAATCTTTTAAGAAAGGGGAGCCGTCTCGATAGGCCAGAGATCGCCTAAAATGGACAGAAGCGAAGCTTACTCGGCCACGGGGCTCCGAGCCCCCTCCCCCTTCCTAAGCTTCGCCAAACACGCAACCGTACAATGAACGGTTGCAGGAACTGGGCTTGCCTAGTCTGGTGAAGAGAAGGACCAGGGGAGACACGATAGCGGTCTTCCAATATTTGAGGGGCTGCCACAGAGAGGAAGGGGTCAAGCTATTTTTTTAAAGCTCCTGTAGGCCAGACAAGGAATAATGGATGGAAACAACAAGGAGAGATTTAACCTGGAAATAAGGAGAAACTTTGTGACAGTCAGAACAATCAACCAATGGAACAGGTTGCCCTCTGAAGTTGTGGGAGCGCCATCACTTGAGACTTTCAAGAAGAGATTGGACTCCCATCTGCCAGAAATGGTGTAGGGTCTGCCGCTTGGGCTAGATGGACTAGTGGACTAGATCAGCCGTCGCCAAACGGTGGGCCATGGCCCACTGGTGGGCTGTGAGAAAATTTTGGTGGGCCGCAGAGAAATCTCACCCCCAGAGCACCCCCCCAAAGCAATTAATCTAGGCTGCACAGAAACAAAAGGCTGTGCTGCCCACATGGCCCACGGGAACCCTCCCCACCCATTCCTTACCTGGCAAACTTACCTGCTAAATTTGTATTTTTCCTTTTTCCGGCCATCAGCTGTTCTGCTGTGCTGGGAGATTTAGATTAGCTTAGGAAGCAGGAAATGGTTGGATTTCTTGCTTTCTAGCTCGTCTTTAGATCTTTGGCTCTGCTTTTAAGCACAGCCAAACCTCTTAGGACTGAAGGTTCTGTTATTCAGTGCAGACACATGGCAAGCAAATTTGAGAGACTGAGGTAGCTGATGGCAGATAGGTACTGAATGATTCTGTGAGCAACTCAATCTGCCTGCCTGCTTTGCCTGATTTTGGGTAAAAGTTGCTCTTTTTTATAAAAAAATTCAATATTTACATACATGGTATGTTGTGAGTTAATTTTGTGAGTTTGCTTGCAAGCAAATTTTATGTGACAGACTGAGCTAGCCGATGGCAGATAGATCTCTGAATCTGTGATTCTGTGAGCAACTCAATCTGCCTGCCTTCCTGCTTTGCCTGATTTTGGGTAAAAGTTGCTCTTTTTTATTTTTAAAAAAAATCAGTATTTATATAAATATTTATATTTACATACAAGCCATGCCCAGCCAGTCACATGACCACCAAGCCACACCCACAAATTAGGCCACACCCACAGAACCGGTTAGTGGTCCCTGGGGTTTAAAATTATGAGTTTGGTGGTCCCTGAGGTCCAAAAGGTTGGCGACCCCTGGACTAGATGACCTACAAGGTCCCTTCCAACTCATCTGTTACCTTTTAACTCCTCAGCCTTGTTGTGATCCTGAGATGTTGCAAGATGCCTTTGATTAGATGTGTAAGGATAACTCTCTTTAAGAGAATGAGATTTGGTCATTTGAGGAATTGCTATACTGAAGGGGTTAGCTATGCAAATAAATCTGTAAATAGTGGAATTTATAGGCAGTCCGATTTCGAACATGGCAAGTGATAAATACATGATTGGTTGCCTAGTCAAAACTAATGGTTCAATGAGCAACATGGAAAAATAGAGGGATTTTAGAATCAAACCGAATATCCATACTTTTTTTAAAAAGCCGTTGCTTTCTCAAGCCTGAGTGATCTCTATAATGACTAGAAATGTTTTATATTAAAAAATGGACATATATCTGGAGGCACTCAGTAGGAAAGAAAGTCCCTAGAACCACAATTGCAAACAATTGTAATGATGAAGACAAGAAGGACCTATACTGGAGGTAAAAAATGTGCCAAGTCACCATGAGTTATCCTGAATATGTAGAGTTGAAAGTCAAAAGTTGAAATTCAGAATGAGCTCTGGTAGGTGAAGGATAGCAGGAATACTTCCCAGACTGGAAATACTGGATGGGGAGGATATGACTAATAACACTAACAAGCAATGAGTATAATTAATCAATGGAAAAGCTTGCCTTTCAGAGTTGTGGGTGCTCCCTCACTAGAAGTGTTTTTTTTTTTTAAAGTTAAAAAGACTGGACAACCATTTGACCAGGATGGTAAAATCGCTTGCTTCAAACATGGACTACTAGACCTCCGAGGTCCCTTCCAATCCTATGATTCTATGTTCTATGACAAGGGTCTTCAAACTTGGCAAGTTTAAGACTTGTGGACTTCAAGCTTAAGGAGTTCATTTTAGGATTCCTTTTAACTTTAAGAAACTTTAAAGAAAAAGTTTAACTTTAAGAAATTAACTTTTTAGACTTTAAGAAATTAAGAAAAAGTAAATATTTGAGGCAGAAGCTATATTTTATTTAGTCTGGAGGTGCTTAAGTTCAGTATTTTATATCTCCATGTAAGTTCAGTGATTTGAGACCACCTGCATATCATCTTATGAGCTTGGCCCTGCTTACCAGAAAAATACTAACAACAACAGAGGATTTCTTTACATATGTATTAATACATATTAATGGAAAATTATCAATGTGGCTAACGCTTGATGAAAAAAAGCTAGAGTTGCTTAATTCTTAATTTTCTCCCCCAAAAAACTTTGAGACTCATAGAAACGTGATAAGGAAACTCCTATTTACTTTGTGTTTAAATGTCCAGGGTCAGAATCTGAACTGTATACCAAGGTTATTGTCAGCCCGCCCAGGTAAACCAGACAGGAGGCAGAACTAGATGAGCTAATTCTACTAATTCTACTTTTTTTTAGGCTACATTAACAGAATCTTGCAAGTCTGGAAGGACAAATTTTCCGCCACCGCTTTTTAACTGCTTTATCCATTAGGCGGGTCATTTCCTAACTTTCTAAGAGAGCTCCAGCCTCTCTTCTCTAGTTGTCTCTTCCTTTCTTTCCCCAAGGTCATCCATTCATTCCATTACAGATATGAAAGGTGTATCCAGTCCTTTATGTTTTCTTTGATACTGAAGACAGAGAACTCTGTTAATCAATAGTCCACAAAATCAGAAGAGTAAGCAACTTTCGTAGAAAAAAAATTATGGAAAGGCATAAACTTTCAGTAGTAAGAAAAAACAGCTAAGTAAGTTAGCAAATATATTGATCACATCGCAGGAAAAAAAAAACCTGCTTTATTCTGCGATGATTAGTCTTCCGTTTCAAGTATGGCATGCAATCATGGACACCAAATTTTAGTATTTAGAAAGACACATTCTAATTAAACTTTATAAAAATGTCCCTGTTACATGAGCAGCTTCTCAGTGGAACCAGTTGCCAAAAGAACTGGTAGGGTCTGCTTCAGCCAATGACTTAAAGTGAGAAATAGACAATCATCCACTAAAGTGCTTTAATTTGGATTTCTGCCTTGAGCATTGGATATGACTTGATGGCTTAAATAGACTGGTTTAAATAGACTGATGGCTTAAATAGACTGATTCCATGCAATCACAAAAATAATCTTAAGATTTGATTATTTTTTTTCAGGAACAAATCTGCACACTCTTTGAAAATGAGTTTTTCTGATAAAAAATGAGTAATCATTCTGAAATTTATTGGGGAACATGGAGGAAAAAACAGTTCTTTCTTGGCCTGAAATGAGAAAAGTTTACACAATATTCTCCTAATGTAATGTACAAAATGTTCCAGACCATATCCTACTTTGTCACAAGTTTTGAACACCACGATGCTTCAATAGCTTTGAAACATTGGAATCAGCCTGAGAATTCATGCATCAGCGTCATGTCTCTCGAAGCTGTACCTGTTCTAGCCCTTGTTTATTAACAGATGTTTTCCTTTACTAGGAACAGAATGGAAAGGTACAGTACTTGGATGCTTTCTGTTTGCAGTGTAATCCAGTGTAAGCTTCAACAGAAGGAAAATAAGACGTTCTGAACAGAGGGATATTGTTAGCAACGGAATGAGAATGTTTCCCTTGAAGGTTAAATCAAATGCATTCAGGAAGAAATCATTATGTGTACCTTTAGTGCCAGGGAAATTGTAGCAACTGTACTAAGAGGTATACAGCTAAAATACAATTTCTCTGTGCACTTAAAAAAAAAACTGGGTAAAATATCAGCACAAGATAAATACATATTAAATGTGCTGGAGTAGGACAGAAATGAACATTGGGGAGGGATTAACTATATTATAGTATGAGTCATTCATGAAGGAAATATTTTTCCTTATTATAAAGACAGGGCTTTTTTGTGCCCCACATTTTTTTTCTGTTTTACTAGACGTTCTCTGCCCTATGTTGCAACATGGCATTTCTTTAAAAAAACATTAAGTACAATACAATCTTGAAAGCCAAATAGAGATAAAACATTAACGCTTGAGCCTAAAACGTCTGGAGTCTGGTACAGGAACAGAAAAGGCTCCAGGATGAATGGGAAGAAGTAAACAAAAACCAACAAATCCAAGGATTGCAAAGTTTGAAGTTTTCTCACCCTGCCTGAGTAGTTTATCCTCAGGGTCAGCTCAGCATTGGAATGGAAGGAGTTGCTTACCTTGCAACATATTTATTGTATTTATTGAATTTATATGCTGCCCATCTCACAAAGCAAAGGAACTCTGGGCAGCTATATCATCTGGGATACTCCTTGGATTGGCCCATCCCTTAGTACACAGCGGGGGTTGGCAACTACAGGTAGTACTCGACTTACAACCACAACTGAGCTCAAAATTTCCACTGCTAAGCAACACAGCTAAGTAAGTTGTGCCTCACTTTATGACTCAGAAGGTGATCGCATGAGCCCTGGGCACTGCAACCATAAATACA